AGCTCTTGGTTGAATCTATTTTTCAAAATCTAATGAAATGATCAAAACAGATTCTCTTTCTTTTGAAGGGCCTCTCTTCATCAGGCTGAAAATTTTTCAACAACTTCACATGATGGGCATATATATATCTCACAAACAAAAAGAAAGAACTGTGGTAAACCAAACACGAGTAATTTTATATTAATTGGTTGGAAAATGTGAACAGATTATGAAAAACAGCTACCTTTAGCACATGAACACTAAGTAAAATTGATCAAACAGGATAATATCTGTATATCTTGATGGCTATTTTGTTTTAAAATGTCACAGAATTAAATATTATTTTTGTCATTTAATGGCATGGAAAGAAATATCAACTGATATTACTTAAGTGAGAGAAAAGGTGTATTTAGGAAGCAAGAATTCAACCAAAAATGTTTTATTAAATTCCACCTACAAGATCTCTCCAACTTTATTATACTTAATTTACTGAATGAAGTGCTTACATCAGGATTGGAGTTATGAATAAATTGTTTTTTTTTTTATAGTTATATTCAAGTACTTTTGATCATCACAATCATTATCAAGAATGAGTGTTGTTTATATTGTAATCAAGATTTATTTGACATTTTTAGATTGGTGGAATTAGTTCAAAGTAACATCATTTGTAACAGATGGAAAATCATGTACTGAATATCTGTACTTTTTTTTTTAATAAGATAGAGCTGCAATTTTTGAGGCTCTAAATTATTGGTAATTATTATATTGTGAATTTTTTTTATAGTAAATGATAAATCTAAGGTATTTGTTCGGATTGTTAACTGTGATATACTGGCGAATTATATTTTTAATAGCCTTTTCATTTGGTTTATAATTAGGACACATCTAGTTATAAAAAATAATTTAATGTAGCCTTATAATTATTAAGTGATACATAATGATGAATTATATTTTTAATGGGTTTTTCATCTGGTTTATAATAACACTATCTGATGTCTTAAAACTGAATAGATAGACAGACCTTGGCAGTGGAATTCAACAAAAGTTATTTGGATGAATTCTTGCTGCTTAAATACTTTATTTAAACTATATGACCATGCAGCAAACAAAGACATTAACACACACACACATATATATATATATATATATATATATATATATATATATATATATATATATATATATGGTGTTTAAGAAAAAAAGATATTTTGTAATCTAATAACTTGACCAATTCTCATTCAAATGATCTCAGATTTTAACGGCATGTGTAAAAACAACTCAAAATTCTGTTTAATGTTTCTTTTCTTTTTTTTTTTTCTCAGATATAGAAATGACAGTGTGAGAGTATGTTCAAACAAGACTGTGCAATATGGATTTTGTGAGAGAATTTGCTAAAAATGCACCAACTACTATGTAGATTTGGACATGGCACAAAATGTTCAAAGAGGAAAGCTGTCTGTGCAGGACAAAAGGAACTGGACAAAGCCAGAAGAGAGAGTCAAACAGGTTTGGGAAACATTTTGTGAAGCCTCAAGAAGTTCATAAGAAGTGCAAGTCTGGAAACCTAAATTACTCCAACATTTTAGTATCTGCAAGAAAATGCTTTTGACACCCTACAAGCTGCATGTTACAGGCAGTGTGCATATTGAAAAATTCTGAAATTGTTCATGAAATCTACATACATTTGAATTTCTCATTCAAATTTTGATGACTATATCTTATTTTGCTCAACAATAAACCTTTTTAGTTTTATTTGACTAGACTATATATATATATATATATATATATATAAAGAAACCAGAAGAGAGTTACACAAGAGAGAAGTGTGAGATAAGAAACCATTAGCATAGAACTTATACTTACATTTAGTAATTTCTATAGTAAAATGAAGAGATCTAGCTGCCAATCTAGTTCTACACTTAAATTCATGAAGACAAGGTGCCAAAGAGGAAAGCACATCAAAACAATTACCATAAAAGTATTTATAGAAAAGGCACAGAGAAGCTACGTTACGGCAGTGGGAAAGTGACTGAACCCAATAGGCCAGGTCAAGACCAATGACATTGGAGATTCTTCTTTGGATTCAGTCAGGAATCTCTCTAAATACATAGCAGAAGCACCAGACCAGATGTGGCAGCAATAATCGCTGAACTGATGAATGGTACACTCATAAAGGTGAAAAATAGATTTTGGTGAGGAAAAAATGGTCTAGCACAACACAGTGAAACAACTTTACTTACAACAGAATATTAGAGTAAGGTGAAAGAGTGTGTAAGATCTAGTAGGTGCATATAAACCTATTTTTCCTGAGAGATACAAACTGATTTGAATAAAGCCACAAGTAAATCCTTTTCAGAATAAAGATTGGATTTTGAAAGAAAATTTAATTTTAATTTTCATCATAAATGATTCATTAAAGAAAAAAGAATTTTTGTGAAATTTCTAGCTAAAAAACCCAAAACACAACAAAAGAATTGGTCGATTGGATGTCCTTAGTGCACTGAAAAACAAACCAAAAAAACTATGAAGCAGTTTAAATACTAGAGAAGCCTAAAAGACTTGCAGACAAGACCAGTGTTTCTTCACAATCAATCACACTTATTACGAAATTCTCTTACAATTCAGCTTTGGGGATCTGTCTTCAAGATGAATGTCTTAGCCATAATGTCCTCTAAAAAACAAAGAAATTGCTGGGTGTCTACTTAGCTGAATAATCCAAAATTTATCTGATGATATGAGACATTTTGAAACATTTATCATCATGTTTTTTTTCATCCTTATAGAAGTTATATTTTTTGGGGGGGATCCAATAATATTGGTAGAAATACAGTATATTTATTGTTTTATTTTTTTAACCAGATAATTTTTCAGGGATGTGCAAAAAGTTCATCTTGTTAATCTGTGCTTCTTAAAAGGCCACATAATTGCATTTTTTTTCAGGTTAAGACTTTTAGGCCAAACTTGTTCAACAAACTAAAGTTGCTTTTATTGTAAGGGTTTAAAATTTACACCCAGTCCTGAAATCTAGTAATTTTTTTTTTTAATTATTTTTGTTTTACTAAATAAAATTATGTATGGAAAATAATAGAATCTATGGCTTCCAGCAAATGAAGCTTGTAGGTCTTATTGAGGACCATCCTTCTTCAAATTTTTGGGGATGATGCTACAGAAGCACAAAGAACTGTACCAAATAACAGAAACCACATCACTTGAGGACTTTTAACAGCAGTAACAACTAAATGAATATCACATGTAACTTGAAGAGAAAATAATGACAATTAAAATGTTGATGTTCCATATTACTTTAAATAAAAGGTTTGGAAGGAAGCACCCATCAATACTGAAAAGAACATTTAGTGAACTTGAGAAATCTATTTTCTGGAAAAATTGTGAATAGAAAGATTTTATAAATTTCAAGTGAAAGCAGTACTGGCTGCTCGATCAATGAATGCTAAATGGCTAATACTACCTTTACCACTGTATGATTTTTACTGCAGGGTTAGAGTAAATTATTTAAAATGTAATATGTCTTTTGGGACAGCCTGTATTTCTGATAATGTACTTACATGCCTGACAAAAAATAGCAAAATGATTTGAAAAAATATTGCATATTATAACCTAAATTCAAGCAATTATTCACAAACTTTGAATGCAAGTAGAATTATGCATTTAATTTCAGTGAGTTTTTCTCCTATACTTTTCAAAATATAAGTATTAAGTTATTATTATACATAAGATCTCAAATATCAGGCCAGTTTTTGTTGTTAAAGTAGAAAATAAAAATAAAGAAAATTAATGATCAACAAATATAAAGATTCATTTAATCACATCCTATAAAAAACTTAGGGTGGAATTAAAAAAAAGAAAAAAAAAAAAAAGAAACATTTCCTGATATTTAATAGTACCAAAATTACCGTCTGGATTTCTGAGATGAGGAGTTATTTAAACACAGGCTATTTAAGGAGACAATAGCCCACATGTAAATAATGATTGAAATTAATTATTCACAACCTGGAATGATAGTTTTAGATCTTAAATTTGTTTAATATATTTTAAGCATTTTTAAAATGAAATGTGCATGATACACATACCAGGTCTGCCAGGTGTTGTTTATTTACATAACATTTTTGTATTAATTTTCTAAGTCAGAAAAATAAAATCAATGTCTTATTAAATAACAGTATTTCCAACTTGTTAACATTAATAGATGAATACTATTTATAATAAACAAGTTTAAAACTGATGTGATCATGACCAAAGTAATTTTTCAGGGATTTTGTTTCGTAAGTTGGCAAATGGTCACATCACTGATGTAAATCACATGAGAATATACTTATATTTAGTACAAGAATAAAAAAAAAAACAGAAAAGGAAATGAGTTTAAATTACTGATTCAAGGAATGAGTGATTTCAGAAGGTTTCTTTAATTTGGGATGCTCCTGAAGAGGAAAAAAAAAAAAGACATTTAGTAATAGATTTTTGTTTACTTTGCTGTATTTGGTGGGGGAGCAAACAATTACTGGATAGCAGGGAATGAGAAATTTGGGGATGTAAATGATTTCCATTACTGTGGTCTTTATATATATATATATATATATATATATATATATATTGGGGATTCTACCACTAAGCCGTTGGCACACGGCAGGGATAAAGGTGAATTTAAGTGTATTTATTTTTAGATAAACACATAGTGACTGAGAGAACTCGATTTGATTTACAAAAGGGTCTTGCATTATTAGCCGTAATAGTCACTGTTTACAAACCCACACTTCCTCCCCATATATTTATAGGTTTAGACATCAAGTAGATAAATAAATTTAAGAAAAAAAAAACCCTCAAAACTGGAGCAGTTGAGATTTGTTGTATAATTCTTTAGTTATCAATCCTCCATTATTAGATGAGGTTATGTCTTGTCAGTAAATGACACAGGGAAAAATATATTATATATACATATATAAAAATAATTTGTTTTAAATAAAAAAAAAAGAAAACGAAATCCAAAAACTGAAAGTGTGCAGTCATGCCACATGAAAGAAAGCAGCAAAAATTTTGTTAACCAAATATGAAAAGCAAAAAATAAAGAAAAAATCTCGACGCCTAGTCCCACTAAGAAAGCAATAAGTGATCACCATCGACTAGGCAATGAGATAATTTTATTTATTTTTTTTTAGATTTGTTTATTTTTGTCCTTATTCTTTATTCACAGATATTAGCCAGTTTTTGTTTTTTTTTTTAAATTCTTTTTTGTTTTGTGTCCAGGAAAAATAAAGTCTTGTTTAATTGAATCAATGTGTGTCAGCACTGGGATTTTGAAAGATTTGTCCAGTAAGTTAGTGGTGGTAGTAGTAGTGATAGTGATAGTAGTAGTAGTAATAGTAGAAGTAGTGGTAGTATACTAGCATCACCATTAGTTCTCGAGGCATGATTAAAGTCATGACAGAGAACATTCTGGAAAACCAATGTTCAGCAACGTTTTCATAACAAAAGCTGAGATCTAAACATCATGTCAACAAAATATTCACAACAGACACTGAGGCACTGATATCCCAGGTTGAGCTATGTTTGATGGACATCTCCAAGACATTCACAGGGCACATTCACAGAGTTGGTTAGCTGCAGTTGAAATTATTCACTCAACTACAAGTGGTTAATCACACCAAGTGTTTTAGGAGAGTTTTTCATTTTTTTCTATTTCTGTTTTTTTTTTTTTTTTTTTTATTTTTGTAAAAATTTTTATTTTTATGTTTGTTTGCTTGGTTCTGGCCTTATTTCACTCATGCACTCAGAGTTGCTCACTTTTTCTCTTTCAGACAACTTCTTGCACAGTCTCTCATACTTTTGTTTTCTTTTTAGTCTCCTCTCAAGTGAATTGAGTTAACTAGAGCATTGACAACAATAGCAGCAGCAGTTTTTGTAATTTTTTTTCATTTTGCTTGAGTCCCACCCAGCCCTTCCCACATAACAATTACTAGACAAATTGACAATCATACATTTCTGCCTGATTGAAAACTGTACCTGTTTCCCCCACCTCTTCCTTCTCTGGCAGATGACAGTAAAGAGTAATTACCAAGCTGGTCAAATTTCTGGGGATTTTGACTCGCAGGATTATTTATGTTTGTTTGCAAAGTTGATGAAGAAGAAGTCCGTGTGTGAGATTTGGACCTGGGTGGATGACTGTTGCCTTCCAAATAGCTGTAACTATTAATTGTTGGATGTCCATTGGAGTCTCGAATTAATCTTACTGTTGGAAGAGTGGCTTGTTTATGGGTAGAGAGTCCAAGAAAGCTGCTGTTGGGTGTAGAATGTGCATGACACAAGGATGAAGGACTCTCCCCATTACGAATGGTTCTGTTTGGTGGAGGACAAAATGCTTGACAGTCTGCTTTGTGAGAACGCTCACATGACTGTAGTAACCTTTGACTTGTTACATAACCCTCCTCTCCATCTTCAGATATTGGAATACTTGGTGGAAGACCCAATTCCATGTCTGTCCGTATAGATTTTAAACGGGTCTGTTTTTCTTTGAACTGCGCAATTGCTCTCTGTTCTTGAGCTGGAATACCAGACAAATCCTGAAATAAAAACAGAAGTTAACTCTATATATGAAAGCAAGAAACAATTTTGCATGATTTGGAGCAACAATGTCTTTTTCTCCAAATTCTCTTTCTGAAAAGAATCAATAAAGTCTGAAATAAAACACTAAATTTTTGTGAAAGAATGTGCGAAATTAAAGGAGAAAAAAAAATTTCTAGTGAGATGTGCAAAAATTAATCCTCTTAATAGAGGACTAAAAGATTTTATTACCATTTATTCCCTGTTGCCAACAAATGCTTATGTACATTTGTCTGTGTTCAATACCTGCAAAGCTGAGCAGTGGTTTATAATGTAAGTATGCTGACCAAACCAGAGTTAAAAATTTTGGAAGGGAGTATATAATCTAGCAACAACAGCACAAGCAAATCATTCATCAAGATAAGCTGTGAATGTGCAAGTACAACCATTGATAGCCTCTGAACATTGCTATCTACCCAATTTCACTTGAAAGGTTTATGGTAACATGAAAGGTAGTGCATGCTGGTACTGGCTTCCCAGGCAGGATTAGGGTTTTTATATATATATATATATATATATATATAAAAAATGTATATCAAATATGTGGTGCAGTTCAATTTATATCACAATGAATCATTCATACAAAAAGTAGATTAGTAAAATTAATGATATAAAATGGCGAAACCTCTTCGCAAACCAAAATTTTAAAGTTGCATTAACCTATGAACCACTCGAATGTTATGATCCTTGTTTTTAATAACTACAAGCTGTATAAGGTCTTTTTTTTAGTAAAGTAATGTCACAGCTGCACCACATATTTGATTTAAAAGAACTGATCCGTCGTACAAATTTTCGGCATAACAGCTGAGACATTACTCTATCTATTGAACAATTTAGTTTATGCCACATTGACTGATAAACTCCTACAACAAAAAAATTCTCAAATTACCATATTAGTAAAAAAAACACACTCTCTTAAATTTTCAAAAAAAAAAAAAAAAAAAAAAAAAAAAAATCAACCTTAGCATTGTGACTGCATTCTCCAAAAGTTTTTATATGTTAACAATAACACATTTCTAAAAAAAAAACATGTTTTGATTTGCATTTAACTTTTCGTCTCTGATGCTACCTGGATTTACTAAAAACAAAATAATTTCCATGTCTGAGGATGACTGTATATACATTTGAAAGCATTTACGATAAATGCTAATATAATGAAAAGCCCTTTGCCAATAGACTGAAAATTTAAAGTATATAATAAATTTATATTGGCAGCTATGATGTACAGGCATGAAACAAATTAACAAAATCACTTGAAATCAATTCAACAGTGCACAAAGATCAATGGAAAGAGTAATGTTGGGGGTAACAGATAGAAAGAAGTGAACATGAATCTGAGAACAGACGAAGATCAGAGATATCATAGAACAAAACTTGAAGTTAGTGAGGCAGATAACAGGTAATGTAAAAGCTTGCTTGGTTGGTGCCCAATGTATAGTAAAGTAGGAAAAAACCAGACTGAAGATGGAGAGATAATATCAAGAGGTTAGCTTAGCTGGTAAGATATGGCAGACAATAGAACCGATATGGTTGTCATGGAAGGGTTTGGGAAAGGCTTTAGTATCAGAATTGAAACTAATTTCTAAGTGCCCCATTATTGAAGAAAGCATAAAATTAAAATAATTTTGTACATGGTAAATTTCTTTTATAAAAATCAACTTTTTCTTAAAAAAGTGAAATATGTTTGCTACTTTATTCTTTTATAGATAAAAGGATAAAGTGGAAAAAAAAAAATTTTCAATTGAAAATGGAAATAAAGCATATTACAAACCATTGAAAATAAGCTTCTTTCTTTCATGAATATAACCATGTTTAAGAGAATTTAAAACCATTCCAAATATTTTCTTCTAAAAGGAATGTAGTTTTATGAGAATTAAATATATACCTACCTCTGAGAAATTGGTTTGTGAACTGGGATGCAAATTTTCATGCTCTGGTGTTCGGTTGCGAGAATCGTCACCTTGACACATCCACGAAGAAATGTGACAGTGGCAGAGTCCAAAAATTATCACCCCTAATATACACACCACAATTATGATTATCACAATTATTGGCATTATATTTGAGTTGCCTGCAAAATAAAAAGATTTCAATTAAGTTGGCAGAATTTGTGAAGGTGAAATGGATTGTAAAAATACAAATAAAAAATAAAGACAACTCAAATATTTCCTTGTTTGCACATCCCCTTAAAAAGTTTTTTTTATTTTTAATAATAGATTTAAAAACTATAAACTAAATGATCCAGGAAAAATGTCTATTAGCCATTTCTATAAAAAATTTATTTTTTATTACTGTTAGTCTTTGGTGTAATAAATGTTTGATTGGCTAAATGATTAAACATTTACCTTTGAGAAAAATGTATTTTTAAGCCTGACTGGTTGTAAAAAGAAATTGTTGCAATTGTGTGAAAATCTATTTTAAAATTAGCAGTTAAACAACCATCAAAATTATTTCTCTGTGAATTGTTGCAGATTCATTTTTTGAATTTATGAGGAAATAAGTTTTCATCTTTACTGGCCAATGAGAGATGTGCTCTCGAGCCCTTGTGAAAACCTGGATGGAGCCGTTGTAACCCTCCTTTGTTAAATAAAAAGGACTGTGGTTAGTGGATGGCTTCAGAAAGTGGAGGAAGCATCAAAGTTCCCACAATTCAAGGCTGGAGCATTAGTCCAGCCAAAGGGGTTATAAATCATGGGATGGTGTTGGAGAAGAAAGAAGAGCTGACAGCTATAGGCAGATTTAAGCCCCAAAGAAGAATTTAAATGAAACAAACACCCTAGTTTAACCTTACCAGTAAAAGACCACATAAAGCTCTCAAAACAACTAGTTGAACACAAAACCCCTTTGTGCTTAGACATTCTTATTCAGTTGAAGAAATTAGGTGGGGGGGTGCACTTTTGTATTTTCTGCCTTATGTAATTTTTGCTTCCTCAAAGATTCCCCCCCCTTTTTTTTTTAATTATTAAAAGGTATTATCATTTTTGTTATTGAAACTGTCTTTTTTTATAAACTAAACTGTAGTCCTTTTTAGAAATACCTGAAATTTGTTATCTTGCCTTAAAAAGGAAATTTTGTATTTGTACCTTTTTATTTTTTACTTGTGTAATTGTGACACTATAAGATGCTGGAAGAGTTAAGAGACAGCCTGATAAACATACCAAGAAACAAGGCAGGATTTTATTAAAATTCAGAAAGTTTGTTTTCTTGCGTAAATAAAAAAAAAAACAAAAAAAAAAAAACAAACAAACAGGGAAAAGGTCTGACTCGAAGTAAAATGAGTCAAAAAGATAACGAAAATGATGGCCTCTGTTTCTTTGCATACTTGAAAGCCATCTGGTAAATTTCTGATATTTTATGAGCAGAGCTAGGTTGAGGAATTTTGCCAACAAGAAGTGAACTGATAATATTTTTTTGATTTTCTGGGAACAAAAGTGCAGTTATAGAATTGATTTATATCCCTTATCAAAAAGAGGAAAAAGGGTAAATCGCTAAAGAAATAAAATTTTGTTACATAAGAGCCAAGCCCCAAATGTCATGGTTGAAACTGCTAAGAAGGCTGTTATGCAGACACTTGATGATTGACTGACTGAGAGAATACGGTTTAGTTTGAGGAATCTCGTTGATGAAAATTTTGAGCAATAATTAAAATGAATGATAATAAAAGCCACGCCTGTTCGCCTACGCAGTCTAAAAACTGAGTTTGTCAAAATGACAATCAAAGTGAAGGGCTCAGGTGAAATATCGAGTGGGCAGAGGAACTACCTATGCCCCTTTGGCGGTATTAGTATAAGGTACCAATATGAGGAGGAGAGGGTTAAGGCGGATCAATATTCTGCTACTACTACTCTTAGGAGGAGGGATCTCGCCAAAATTGGGCATATAATTAATTTTCTAGAGTCAGATGACAAAGGACTCTTTGAAGAAGGTTAGGGGATTTACCAAAACCCCAGGCCATGTCAGACTCCATGCCAGTTTTGGACAGAGGTCCATTTAAAGAGAAAGTGACCAAGACAGTTGTTCCAGATGCCAGACAAGAGATGACCACTTCACGGAAAGATGAGACTTATTTTGGTAACGATTGAACTTGTCCGATTCATCATAAGCAACTCTGGATAAGAAATATAAGGCTGTATATTTCTGTTTGTCAACTCCAGATTGAAGAAGATAAATGGAGTTATTTATCACAGAGGACGCAAGGAAATTTGTACGTTGAGAATACAGCCTGTGTTTGAAGAAAGAAAAGAGAAATCAAGAGAGAAGAAGAAAGTATATATCTCTGTTGCAGCCGGACAGTGTTTGAAATTGAATTCGTGTAAAGAAATGAAACAAAGAAAAGAAGAAACGTGAGAGAGAAAAGAAAGGACAATGAGTAAGAGAGAGAACTGAATATAAAGATAAGTAACTATATATTTTGGACCCGTGTTAGAAAGATACACATGCATCCATAAATTTTATGTTCTCACAAACACCTTTCCACATGTCAAAATAGTAATATATAAATCCTATCCCATTTTTTTTTTTTTTTGGTTATACGTTGATTTCTGCATTCGTAGTTATTCACACTTATTTTTTTTTTTCGTTCGGGTTCAGTCGAATCCACTTGGATTTGGACATATTTTGGTATCCCAACATAAGTCTTGAGGTTCTGGTCGTCGGATGCTTTACTTATGCTTATATTTTTCTTTTATTGTAATATCTTGTGTATATGTATATATTAAAATTCTTATACCAAAATTTATTACGCCTCATCGTTCATCCTTGAATTGTGGATCGGTATATGTGTTGAAACCAAAGCGAACCTGGGAAAAGACTACTGTTTGATTATCTCAATCGAACAGAGTTCTTTAAAATATTTTGTTTACTAATTGTCCATTTGTCATGATTTGGGAGAGATAGCCCGTATCTCTCCATAGATGTGATAATGTATATATTTTGCCGCTAAGGAACCTGAGGAAGAAGACGAAGACGACGTAGAACATCTACAACCAGGGACATCCAGTGATTTACAACCTAAAAAATGTCTTTTTTCTGTTAGCAAGAAGATGGTTTGTTAAGTTTCAGAAACGCTTTGGCCTAAAAAGGACTTGTTTTGGAAAAGAATGTCATCGCAAACTTTCCTTTACAAAGAGGAAGCAAAAGCCTCTGGCTTTAAAGCATACAAGGATCATGTGACCCTTGTGATGTGTGGCAATTCTGCGGGATTTCTGTTCAAGCCAGGACTTATTTACAAGTCTAAAAACCCAAGGGCTTTAAAAAACAAAAACAAGAATCTGCTACCTGAGACTTGTTCTTAAATGGCCAATTTGACAAGGCTATTTAACCATTTAATATGGATGTTATGCATGGTGCCAAACTTATTCTGAAATATTTGAACTGCCAGTTGTATACAGCTGCTTCTCAGATCGATGGTTAAAAATGGCTTTGAGCAAATGAACTTTGGTTTCAGCAAACACCATCCTGAATAGGCACTACAGAATCAAAGAAAAGATACCAGATAATAGAAACCAGATCACTTGACAACAGCAACAAATAAAATGGGGAAAAAGATAAAAAGATATTTCAAACTAAAATTAAGTAATAAATCAGATAATATTCCTCAAATATAGTTTCAGAAAAGTATATTACTTTTTAATATTTATTTTTTAATAAAAAGGATTACTTCATGATGATGGATGGCTAAAAATGGTATTAAAATGAACAATTTCAGCAATTTCAAAATGAAAATTCCTTCCAGTGAATTTAAATTAGATTTTGAAATACAGTAAAATATTTTGTTTATTGGAAATATTAAATATTAACTTGAAATTAAAGCTAAATAAAACCTTCAAGAAAGCTTTTTTGGTTTTAAAAATTCATTTTAAACCTTACGTATCATGAATCTGTGAAGGTACCTACTAATATACCTACTATAATAGTTTGTAGGCAACAAAACAGCACAAAAAATGGTATAACATTTTTGGAAATGTCACAGAAATGAGGAGTTTTAATTTTATTTTTAACAATGTTATAAAAGAATGTCTAGTTTATCATTCAATTAAAAAAAAATAGTTAATAAATTTAAGAGAGTAAAAGAAATCTATAATTCTTGCTTTAAACAAATGCTTTTAATTGTCAGAATTATTCCAACTTCATAAGACAGATGAGAAGGAAACTTATAAAAAAAAGGAAAAAAAAAAAATCATCTATTTGTATACAATTTTGCTTAGAATAACAAAAACAAACAAATAAGAGAGGCATGTATGCACATGCCAACATGTATTATTATGCCTGTACCTCTTTGTGTTTAGATATTACCAATCCTTTCTTTGTCTGAAAGACCAGGGCAAATCACTTTTTATAGTATGCAAGCTACTGCTAAATGCTGACCTTTTTAAATACATGATTGTAGCTGCTGCTAGACTGATAATGGGGGAATGAGCACTGTTAGGTCTTTCAGAATGTTAGAATAAAAAGGTTGATTTTAAATTTCCCCACAAGTAATTTGTTTATGTTTTTAAAAGAATCGTTTGTTGTCCAAATGCCAGTTTTAACTAAATTCCATTTTTAGGCATCATCTAAAAATTAAAACAGCATCTGACATTTTTATCAAAATAGACAATAAAAAAATTTACACACACACACATATATATATATATATATATATATATATATATATATGGTCCGACTATTGCATTTAGCATGAAACAGACTGTCGCTGCTATGTGTTGACTTCAATGTCCACTTTTATATTTACCTATGCTCTATCTTTGATATTAAGCACTTTAACCCATGAGTATGGCATACCTTAAAACTATCATATATATATATATATATATATATATATATATATATATATATATCTCCAGATACGATGAGAATGAATAGAATCCACTTCCAACATTTCTAACATTTAATTTAAAATGGCTCAATACATAGACCAATATTATTTATTTTGGGATATTACAAAAACATGTAAGAATCGATACACAACTGCAGTTGTGTTTCAACACATAACGATGCATTTCCTCAGGCAATTGTAACTTACTGGTGAGTGAATGATTAATTTGGTTTCAAAAGCAAAATACATCCTCG